GACAGATGCACCAGAACCTTGCCGGTAAGCAACAGCTATCTCTGGCGATACACAAATCAATAGAAATGGGCTAATTTAGGATATAAGAGCTACCTAAAAATGTGCTTAAGCTATTGGCCAAACAGTATTGCAAATAATATGGTTTCTGTATGTTTACTGCGGGACCAGGTGGGACAGAAACCTCCACCAACAAGTTCCAGCTAATAAACCAATTTGACCAATTAGCTGCAGATGTATAAAGGAAGAGTTGAGAGATGTTAGGATCAGTTTGGTCTCAAAACCAAAGCATGGTGATTAACGTCTGCTGAGGTAAAGAGGTGGCTATAACAAATACAGAATACCATCTCATTGTCCCAGCCCAGTAAGTCCAGAGTATATGGCAGGTTACAGCCTCCTACAGCAAATGCCGCTTTAATAGACAACTGTGCAGACCCCGCCCCTAGTGAGTGACATGACTTTGGGCAAGCCTCTGGCGTTCCCATGCCTGTAACTTCAACCCAAGTTCTATACAAGCAAGGTCATCTCAAATTCCTACTATAAGGCTGAACCCATACCTACGTCTGTAACCAGGAAAAGCTATGTCTTGTACCTTACACCCCAAATCTAATTAACTAGCAATATTATAGCAATTAATCAGGTTCATTTTCTAATTTTGATATTTTAAACCTAACTTCAGGACCTAGTTTAAATGTAAACGATGTGTAGTGAGCTCTGTAAAGATGGCCGACACTGACTTACTGACATATGGAAAATACTTTCTCCATAAAAATTGATTACAAAAATTATTTTCAACTAATTTGTAAAGAAACAGTCAAGATAGCCAGTAAGAGACCAGATTAAATACTGATACGGCCTATTGGCAGGGAGTTTTAACCACTTGAAATCATGTATGTGATAATATAGGAAATAAATCTGTATACAAGGTTAATCCCGTAATTATGAAGGCTATTGTCAGTTTGCCATTTTTTGAGTTCCATTTTTATCTTAGAAAAAATATTCCATCTGTTCTATTCATGCTTTTTCTTTCCTTCTGCCATCATTCCCTAAATAGTATTTTCATGGTACTACTTGCACTGTATTGGCATGGTAGCTAGTCTGAAGACAGTGTACAGCATACAGGATCTTACACAGGCTAAATACAAGCATGACATCACTATGTCATTTTCTATAATGCACTTAACCACCTGCAGATTTCAGATAAGAGGGTTCCTGGAACAAACCCCCAGAAATACTAGGCCAGAGCATATGTATGCTTAAAGAGAGAAGAGTAGGTGTAGCAATTGTTACTGCCAAGGAATGGGCTAACTCTGCATTTCCAAATACAAAAAGAATTCCAGTAGAGTGGCCAGGACTGTGATGAGTGGACTATGTACATAGGCCTTTCAACAGAGTCAGGTTATTTTTAGCACCATAGATTTTATGAATCCTAAACATGGGACTTTTTTTTTCCTTAAATTTAAAAAAGTATTTATTTTTATAAATGTTTACTTGCACGTATGTCTGTGTACCACATGAGTGTAGTGCGTACGGTGCCTGTGGAGGCCAGAAGGCATCGGGTCCTGTGGAATTGCAGTTAAAAGCAGTTGTAAACTTCCGTGTGTGTGCTGGGAATTGTTCCCAGGTCCTATGCAAGAGCAGCCAAGGGCTCTTAACCCACTAACCATCTATCTACCCCAATCCCCTTTTGTATTTTTCTTTTCAAAATTTCAACAGTAATTATCTATTCTTATGAACAGTTTCTGATAAACTCAAGCTAAGTTAAACTCAGAAAAAGACCTTCAGATTCTACTCACATCAAATCATCTAGGTCACATGACTTTAGCCAGGAGGCAAATGAATAGTCATCCCTCCCGACACCCATCCAATGTGTCTCAAAGTATGAACTAGTTAGAAACAAGTCCCTCTTCAGTTTCTTTTCTTTAATGGATGTATGAAGTGAAGTTATCCAAGGGTACCCGGAGGCTCAGCTAAGACAATTTGTTTGTGGCAACATGCCCAAAACAGATAAGTCAGGCCTTCCTATGATACATCACTGCAGCATAGAAGCCTAAGCAGTTTGGAGATCAACAATGCTGACATTTAGGATGAAAGATCAACAGAACTTTATCGGAATGGGTAGAAAATGATACAGATGGAAATAGTTGTCAAAGCAGATGGGATAAAGAAAAGTTGAGACAAGAAATTAACCACAGGAAAGAAGAGAGCTAGTCTACTCCAGTCTGTGACAAGTTATGCTACCAAAGCTACCTTTTTCCTAAACTGCACTTAGAAGTATCTCTGAGCCATCAACTAACAGTGGTCCTGAATTGCTATATGCTCAGATTCATGAAAAGGAAAGTAACCTCCAACTCTGCACCTTGGGGCTCAGGTAAGCGAACTAGAAAACAAACTGTAAATCAAACAGTCTGGCTTCAAAATCTGCATCTTAAGCCTGGCCAAGTCAGAATAACCCAGTGACTTCAATTCTCCCACATCATCATTCAAACAGAAATATCCCAGCTTTTCCCAGCACCAAAAGCCACCTGTGATGGTTAACACTGTCAGTCTGACAGAATCAGAGGCATCTAGTAGGGCATGTCTTGAGAAACTGTTTAAATTAGGTTAAGTGCAGGGGAAAAGCCTTTCTTGAATATGGGTGGCATGGCATCATTCTATGGGGTGAGGGCTTCAACTGGATAAGGAGAGTGCGGGGGAAAGAAATGAGGAAGGGAGAAAGGGAGGGAAGGAGGAAGGGGGGAAGAAAGGGGGGGGGGAGAGAGAGAGAGAGCACGCATTGAGCACCAGCATTCACGTTGCTGTTTCTGCTTCCTACCAATGGATGTGCCAGCTGGTTAAAATCCTTGCTGCCTAGATTTCTTCACCAGGATGGACAGTACCCAGAACCAAAAGGCAGAATAATCTTCTCTCACAAGTTGTTATGTGGGAGAAGAGCAATGAGAAAAGTAACTAATATAGGCACCTTGTGCTTTACAAAACCACACAAAAACCACAGCTGGAAGACTTCTTCAGGAGTCATGTTGAGTCTCATTCTTCAATATGGAAGTAAGACATTTTTACAGAAGACACAATACATGCACAAATAATTATAATGATTTATGTGAAATGAGTTAGGTTTAAATATATTAAGGGAAAATAAAAATTGTAAGTATTTGTACAGAAGGAAGTACAAGGTAAGGTAATAAAGCTCAACATACACCAACTCTAGATGCTGTTGCTAGAGTCACGAAGGTGAATACGACCTGGAGAGTAATGGTCTGACAGACAGCTGTGTAGCTATTTCAGAAGTGGATCCACTGCCACCAGAAACTGAAAGTCTCCGTAAATGGAGAGAAGAACAAATGGAGCGCTTGGAAGCCCTTGAGCCAATTCTCGGAAGCAAGAAGCAGTGTGGAAAGAAAAGGCAATAAAGGAGCTAGAAGAATGGCATTTGAAACAGGATGAGCAGCTACAACAGCAAACAACACGGTAGCAGAAGTCTTTGTAGGCAACATTTAATGAGTCATCTCTAGGCACTGAGTGGGAATGGGTGGCTCAGATGTGTGACTTTAACTCCAAATTCAGCAAAGAGGCCAAAGATGTCTCCTCCATGTACTCAGCTCTCACCTCCCTGAAGCAGCCCCCTTGGCATATTGAAAAGACACCCTATGGGGACACTGTCTCCACAATATTTTAATCCTACTCGGTGAAGCTGAATTTAGATCCTGTCCATTCACAGTGAGGACATGCAGGATAGAGAGGCTAAGCAGACAGTGTGTGCATGCCACACAGTGCCCTCCTACTACTCTGCCTTCATATTGAGAAGTTCTTCTCACTCATACTTCCCTATATTTACTGTTATGGCCTGTGTGCAGGATATGGTAAAAATATTATGAATCAATCCATCTCCAACTTTTGCCTACTCATCAACCTAAAAACTTTATAAAGAAATTAAAACTGAGTGAGTTCAAGACCATCCTGGATAACTCAATAAAACAGTCTAAAAATAAAAATAGAATTGGGAGTGTAGGAGAGAGAGAGAGAGAAGATTAAACCTGGGCTGAGGATATAGTTCTGTGGTAGGTAACTACCTAGCATGCACAAGACTTCCATACCCAGTATCATAAATAAAAGGAAAGGAGAAAGGGAGGAAAAGAAGAAAGAAAAAAGGAAGGTGGAAGAGATTAATCTTTATAGAGGCTTACTTTAGTAATGCCCAGAAAGATTTACTATAAACAGATTGCTTCTAATCTAGTAAAGTGATGTTTGATAGTTTTCTAAACTGGCAAGATTAGTAACACTAATAAAATAAATTACAGAAAATAGAGGTTTGTACATATGCACAGTAGACAGAGATCAAATTGCACAATAAACACACACACAAATATACTGATGATTTTGTCACTAACATCTAATGGTTCAAATCATGATTTCTTAATGCACACACAGATTTTAAAACTGAATAAACATGAATGAAGGCCAAGAAAATCTAAGAAACTAAAAGACAGTGTAAGAAAAAGAAACAGAACTTTATAGTGGCACACTTTGATAGATGCTCTGTTGTCATTGTAACTGAGGCAGAATTGATCACCTGATGATACTGCTTACTAAAAGATGCTAATTAGACCACTTATATATTAACAAGTAGTTCTGATGCCATCTCACTTATTAATCTGTGATACATACTGATAAAACTGAAAGACATGATCAATCAAAAATCACAGGCCAGTTGTAAAATGAAAACTTCCTTGCAGTTCCCAGGCTGGAACCTCATGCTTCATGCATGGTTCATGAAGACTCTACCACTGAGTTATAGCTACAACCTCAAGAGAACAAAAGAATCTTAAAAGCAATACTGGCATCTAAATGAATTCCTAACCTAGCTTCAGGTGTTTTATTTTGCAATTATAAGGGGGGGGGATATAAATGGCTCTACCTATTGATAAAAACATGAATGATCAAACACATGACAATTGCTGGGTTCCCATAAACCATGCATGTTCAACTTAAAATGTTCACAATATGACACTCAGCTGTCAAGAGGAAGCAATTCAAAGGCCATTATACAGCTGATAAGCCAGGTGGAAGGAGCCATCCAGACTTTGCCCTGCCGAACCCTTTCTGGGCGACAATTAAACAGATCTTCATAGACGATGTACTGTGTGCAGAAGCGCTGGTCAGAATCAGGGCTGGCATGGTATGCCACTGTGTTGATGGTCTGAGTCACATCACTGTCTGGCTTGGGCTTTCTACTGAGCACCTTCCCTCCTGCTGCAGCAATGAGCTTAAGGAGGTCGCCCTTTGGATGATGCTTGAAGTTTCCCCCCAAAAAGAAGTAGCATCCATCAAACAGCTTTGGCAACTGAAACAGCAAGAAAACAACTGTTAGAAGCAGAACAAAATATTTTAAAACACTATATATGAATGAAAGACATTAAAAAAAATAGTCCTGAGTCAGTAAGAAACATGCTAATGAGGTGCTGGCAAAGACAGTACTTCAATCACACTACCTGGATCAGAAAGCATACATCTGAAACTAAAAGTTCCTTTTTTTTTTCTAATTTAATGATCTATTTATTCTTATTTTATGTGCAGTAGTGTTTTGCTCACATATATGTCTGTATGAGGGTTTCAGATCCCCTAGAACTGGAGTTACAGACAGCTGTGAACTGCCGGTCGGTGCCAGGAATTATGCCCAGGTCCTCTGTAAGAAAAGCCAGAGGTCTTAACTGCTGAGCCACCTCTCCAGCCATGCAAATAAAAGTTTCTTATTTACGATTTTTTTTCATCTAATATTCAGCTGCTGACTGATTTCTTTTTACTTTCCTAACATTTCAGATGTGTTCTGCAGTGAAAATAAAACAAAACCCAAAACAACCTGTAGGTTGGCATAGCAGTATACACCTAAATTCTAGCTCTAAGGCTAGCCAAGAAAGAGTACAGCAAGTTTAAGGTCAGCCTGTACTATATAGTGAGACCCCTGTCCAAAAACTAAAAACAAAAACAAAACCACATCTCTTCAATTTCCTCCATCAGGATGGTTTTCCACATGGGTAGGATTTAAATCTCACAGACTCTACAATATCAAAAGTAACCTTTAGTGACGTAAGACTGGATTTAAAATATAAGGGCAGCATTTTTCCCACAGACAGTTCAGTTCTGTTCCTCTGCATTCAGGTTCCTACATGCTACTGAAGGTCTCCTGGGCAGCCAGGTAAGAGTGTGGCCTTAGTTCTAGAGATCCATTGCTAGTATTATGAGATTATGAGGTCATGTCTACAGTTCCAAAATTAGAAAACGTTTTTGTCATTTCTACTACACATACCTACATACCTCCATACCTCCATATCAACACAATAATGGAATATCGCCCATTAAAACTGTAGTATGTGGTAATAAAAACATAGGATAGCTAAACCCGAGCAGCAGCTGTAAGTCTTCTTTCAAGATACTTCCTGTATCTGAGACTTACCTCAGATTCTGAAAGCTTTATGGAAATGTTCAAGATGCCAAAAATCCATTAACAGTGTGAAATTATTACTTTCTGGATTTTACTACACATCGTGATCATATTTCAGAACCAAGTGCTTGAAATAAGCACAATTAAAATTTTAATCAGTCGCCTGTACTGGCTGAAAGGGCAAAGTTTTTCCGATGGTGTTAATGATGTGAAGCCATGAGAACAAGCAGGAGTATGTAAAAGAAAAATACCAGCTGCTCTCTGTTGAGCCTGCTCCTCTGTGGACCTCCAGGAACTTCGTACTTTTCCTCCTGTTCACGTAGTTTACTGTGCAGACAAGCCTTCACCCCTGAAAAGAAATAAGGACTAATCAAACAATTACCACATGGCATCTGTGAAACTCATCCTAGTCTCTTCTTCATGGTTGCCCTAAATATTCTCAAATCTTAAAACCCCAATTATATCAAACAAAACAATAAAGCTAGCTAGGGCAGGAGAGATAGGGAAGAACATGCCTGAGGAATTGAGTCCGGATGCCCAGTAGGTGTGGCAGCATGTACCTGAAATGTCAGTGCTAAAGTTGTGGAGAGCAGGCTGCTCCCCCAGCATTCATGGGCCAGCTAGCCTAGCCAAAATGGTAAGTTCCAGGTTCAAGGAGAGACCCTGGCTCGAAAAATATGGTGGAGACCCAAAGTATGCCTCTGACATCAACACATGCAAACACACACACAACCCAACAGAAAAAGAAAAGTTAGCTTTCTGTACTTTAAGAAATCCTTCCTTCCTTCCTTCCTTCCTTCCTTCCTTCCTTCCTTCCTTCCTTCCTTCCTTCCTTCCTTCCCTCCCTCCCTCCCTCCCTCCCTCCTTCCTTCCTTCCTTCCGAAGATTTTTAAGCAATGAGTAAGTTCAGTCCAGTCTAAACTGAGCATTTAACATGCCTGCTCACTTTGCCAGTTGCATATATGGTCTGTTAGATGCCAATGGTACAATGTTAGGAAAGCGCATTTGTCTATAGCACTTTCCTCAGTCAGGCACACATCAGGGTCTCACCAGGACCCATTAAAATAAATATTGAACAAATCTCATGGCATGCCTGGGACTGGACGCCACTCCTGTAGAGAAGTTTGCTTACTATTTATTCTCCAGAGAAAAAGTTCTTCCTATGGATTGGGCAAGTGTATTTACAGTTTCAGCTTAAAAAGCCCGAGCTATTCCATGCAGTGAGTAGGAAAAACCTAAGCAGGGGCATTAGCAGACAGTGACTGCCTGACTGCATTCTAAAATCAATATGCCCAATATGCCAAGAACAATCACATAGGATGATACAACTTAAGTATCAGCAGCACAGCAGCATTTTAGGATGGTGTGTGTGTGTGTGTGTGTGTGTGTGTGTGTGTGTGTGTGTGTGTCACTGCTGGGTTTAATGAATACAACTAAATTTGAGATTTAAAACCAAATGACTTAGTGCTTTGGTATAATTACATAAACTTATAAGGCGTAGTTTTGTTGCCTGTGGAAAGAAATGAAAGAAGAATTAACAGCACCACCTGTCTCACAAGTTTCTATGCATAAAATACTAGAAATGGGATAACCCAGACCCACAAAGACAAATGCCATATGTTCTCTCTTGTTAGTAGTTCCTAGCCTCAGCTCCTCAGATCTGAGTACATAATATGTATAAATATATAGTAAGCACAGACACCAGAAGAGTATAAAGAGACCTCGGGCAGGGGAAGCCTTGGTAGAGAACAACAGAGTATAAGTAGGAAGCAGTAGGAAATGGAACAACAGGGAAGGGGCTCCAACTGGGGAGGAGGGAGGGAGGTCAATACAAATGGAGAATGAGGGTTGAGGGACAAATAATGCCAATGTTCCTTGATTAAGCTTCAAGGAATCACATTATTTTATATTTACCTAAAATTAGATACAGTACATACATATATGTGATACACACACACACACACACACACACACACTTGTATATATGTATAGGAGAAAGTTCAGCCAATTGGGCTGACAATGTTTTCCCTCAAACCACAAACTAACCAAAACCCCTGTACTAGACACAAGAAACCTCCTTTGAAGAGCGGTCAAGATGGTCCAAGTGACTTCCAAAGCAGTGTAGATTACCAATGAAGCACTTGGTTTCCTCTCGGGGGTTGAGCCCTACTGCTGAAGAAGCTGCACTCATGGGACACAAAACTCAGACAACTCATGCTAATCTGACCTGAAAGCATGTTCCCTCCAGTATAGCATTCATGGTTCCAAAAAATGCTATGCAAACTGCCAAGAGATAGAAACAACTAAACAGTCCTATCCAGCTACAGCACCTAGGAACCATGACAAATACCAGCATAGCAGGATATGCATAGAGGAGTCAACAAACAGCTGTCTAATTAGACTTATGGCGCATTCACCAAGAGGGACATCATGCTGGTATTGGCTTTCTATGGTTAGTGAGGTCTTACTACCACTTTGCTAGACACACATAATTCCTTACTATGTTTCAAGTCTTATCCTTATAACTATAATAATAGTTATAACTATTATTCCTCATTCAGAGAAGCCTCTCTTTATAGAAAAGACCTCTGCAAAAAACCACAACTGGATCCAAAGCAGACATCAAAAGATGATAGGGAGGAGTTCCTGCAACTATTACTCAGGGAACAGCATGGAAAAAGTACTACGGTGAAACACTATCTCCTGGAAACAAGACAGAAATAGGAACAGCAGTACTACACAGGATAGTTAACATGGAAGGGGGAAATTTTGTGAGGTCCCTCCCTAAACAAAGTTTTATAGGCAACTATTGCCTGCTGGGAGGACAATCAGCCCCTTCTAGGGTTGAGTCTCCTTATGGGTGGACCAATGCACAGTGGTCAGCCTTGAAACCACATACACACAAACAACAAACATAGACTTGACTCAGCAGGTTCTATTTATATCTCTTCACTCATGCACACAGATAAGAGCAAATGAGACTGTCAACTTGAGAGTGGGGGCCACTGGAGGGATTTGGAGGAGGGAGACTGGGAGGGGCTGGAGGAAAGAAAGGGAGGGAAGAACTGATAATAATTATATTCTGATTAAAGACATTAAAAATAATAGAGTATCAAAAGCCTGAAAAAATCTCAAGATGGATCTTATAATAAGCTATCTTCACTATAAAAACAAAATCTTCAGATGATTTTCCATTTGTCTTTAAGAGTTTTTCACTCAATGACCTCAGTTTCATCACTGAGAAAGCAACAGGAAGTAAGAACAATTAAAAAATAAACAATAATAATAAAATAAGAGTTACAGGTCAAAATCCTACTTTAAAGTAGTTTTGAATATCAACATGTGACATCCTCAATCACTGCTATCTAAAACCTACAGAGAAGAAATTTGCATTTCTATAAACATAAACTGAAAATTAGACATATGTACTATATTAACATCCTAACACGGATAAAACAACAGTGACTGGACTCCAGTGAAGGGGGACACCTCAGCCTTGACTCTGTAGAGGGCCATAAAGGCTCATTCCTGGGCAGGACTGGTCCAGAGCCAAGTATCAATCTGCTCCTGGCACCAGAACTATCCCATATTGTACTTGAAATAAAAAGTATTGTGTGAGGATGAGAAAAGAAAGACCATGTTGACAGAACAAGGTTACATGTAAGACAATCTGTAAACCCAAGAATGGGTAACAGCTCATTTCAGTCTGACCTAGACTTTGAGGTAACTATTTTTAAGAGTTTTTTCTCTTACCCTAAACTAGAATAATGTAAAATGTCTGTGAGTCAACCTGCAAACACAGAATAAAGGACAAACATTGACGCCATGGCATCCTTTACTAAATTATCAAATAAATATTGTTTGAGCTCTGATTTGCCAAGATCACTGCCAAATTGCTCATACAGCATTCCTCCTTAGGGCCACTGCAGCTTTATTATTAAGGGTCTACTATTTACACATTGAACCAACAATGTCTCTATAAAGAGGTTCTATACACTTTTTTGTTGCAAAAACTTACCTTGAACTTTCATTAAAATCAGAAGGCTTTAAGTGAGTTCTAAATTAAATGAATGTAATTTCACAGCTCTCTTGTGCTGTCAATAAATAATCCATTGTAAAACTTCACAGGTATGCATGTGTCAAAGATATGAAGGATGCCAGGCATCACAAGCCAATGTACACATGATGTCAAGGGGCAGGCTCTACTCTTGTTCAGCAACTCACAGAGCTCAACAAGATCTACATGTCTGTTACAAAGCCAGTGATAGGACTTGGGTCAAGGATAGAGTCAGTCACAAGCCGATCCATGCTTTTGAGATTCACCTTTTCCCTCTCTCCAAATCTAATTGCAAACCTTCAAAGAATAGTTAGATCAGATTGACAGAAAGGTGACTTAAAAGAAAAAAATCCATTACATTTCACATTTAGTTCAGATATACTAAAAGCAAATATAATTGGATTTGTTTTTTAGTAAAAACGTTTGAATATATACTTACTTCTAAAACACAATTCTGGACCAATTTACCTTCTTTTTTTAAATTGCTGCTGAAATATTCTAGAAGTATTAGTGGTTTGGCTGTGGTAGTGAAATGAAATGCAAAATTTGTAGTGAGTTAGGAAATTGTGCACAGCTAGAGTTTTAATTCTTTAATCTCTGGTACTAAAAAAATGAAATATTAAATGTTGTGCAGAAAATCAGAATATCATTAAGGAATATGGGAAAATCAAGCAGTTTCTTTACTGCCTTGGGTACAGATGAGTAGATTACGAATAGAAGGAATTTGCTTATGTGTTGTTCTATTCTTAAAACCCGTAAATCATTTTCAAAACCCCCTCTTCTCATTCATTTTCATTAGTGGAAAGCTATCACAGCAATATTACATTATAAAATCTATGGATGTTGTACAATCTTATATTCATCCCAAGAACAGATGCATTGTTATAATTCAAATGCATTAACACTGTCTAATATTCCAAAAATATTAATTTCCCACTATTTAAATAATAAAATACTAATGAGCACAGGGCCTAAAAGAACATTAAAAGAAATGTATTTCCTTTTATTTTTAAATTTCTCTTTTTTGGTTTTTCGGGACAAAGTTTCTCTGTGTAACAGCTCTAGCTGTCCTGGAACTAGCTCTGTAGACCAGGCTGGCCTCAAACTCATAAAAATCCGCCAGTCTTTGCCTTCCGAGTGCTGGGATTAAAGGCATGTGTCACCACTGGCCAGCAAGAATGACTTAAGGATCTGGCTGTGACATCTGTTGCCCCCATTGATCGCCAGAGGTGATTCGGTTGATATGGCTGGCTAGGCGCCTGTCCCCTTCTTCCACCACTGCTCTATGTGCA